CTTTCTCTTTTTAATAGAGGTGGTTTTCTTATCTTCTTTTTGATGGGGTTGAAGACACTTTATTTAATCTTTAGAAACTGTTTTTCCCAAATGAATCAAGACACTTTAGCAGTATGCAGATCTTTCTTTTTCTTTCTTTCTTTCTTCTTTCCTTTTTCCCTCCTTCTTTTCCTCAAGATTCCTACAGCATTGCCCTTAATAGCATAAAAATAGATGATAAAATTACTCCGCATTCTAAAGCTCTCTTGGTTCTTGCAGTCTCATTGGGCCTACGGTCGCCGGGGAAGGTATCTCCCTTGCGAGGGCGGACCATGAAGGAGTATGAAGAGCAGCTGGGCAGCCTGAAGAAGGAAAATTTCTCTTTAAAACTTATCCTTGAGGAGCGGATGGGACAGAAGTATGATAAGGAGGACAAGGAGGAACAAGACCAACATTGAGCTCAAGGAAAAGGGTGAGGATGAAGTGTGGGAAGTGTGAGGACAAGTAATCCATGATTTTATGTGTGGATATTAGTTATGTCTCCTATTTATAAGGGAAAGAGAGCAGGATTAATATCCTCTGCAGGAACCTCATTCTTGATTTCTGTCTTTGTTCCTGTAGGTGGAAACAGAAGCACTAAAGCGAGAGTTGTACGACAAACAAGAGTTGGTGCGGCAGGCATCGACGGCGCTGTCAGGGTTAGAGCAACAATTTCAAGAACAGGTGGCACAAATGAAGGGGATTCATGAACAGGAGAAGCTGCAGTTGAATGAGAAGATTGGACAGCTGCAGAAGGTAGATGGAGTTGTATAATTTGTGTTTTTAATGTGATGTTTAAGAGTAAATTAAGTCTTGAGAATATATATGTATCCTTATATTAAGCTGCTGGCTTTTTATTTCTTTCTTTCTTTTTCTCTTCTTTTCTTTTCTTTGATATTTTAATAATTCCTTCAACATTTGTGAAAACATATCTAAACTTATGTACACACAACTTTATTTTGAATGATTCCGTCAGGACTTGGATGACTATGACCAGCGCATCCAAGAGGAAGGGGGTCGCCAAGGGGAACTGACCAAGCTCTGCGGGCTGGCCTTCAGCACGGGAGCTGAGGAGGAAGAGCCTGCAGACCCTGTCCCTTCGAGGGAGAAGCTGAGTCTTCCTCTAAACCTTCAAGGCCATAATAACAGCAGCTTTGGCCATTCTCCTGTTCAAGGTAAATATAATGTGGAGGAAAGATTAATTCTTTGATGATTGCAGAATGTTAGTAGTACACTGTAGCTCAGGAATCAGTTCTTGCTCACTTTGGCCCATAGCATAGAAGTTGGTGCTACAACCCTAGTAAAGCCGTAAAATCATATTAGCATTGATTAACTATATACTCACACATCTATTTTCTTTTCCTTCTTTTCAACAGGACTGTTTAGCCTGCCAGCAACAGTCCCCAGCACATTAGGGAAGATCCAGTCCCCAAATAAACCCGGAGAGCTCTCAGAAGACCCAGACTTGGCAGAGCAGAAAGTCGCAGCTCTTGAAGCCCGGGTGGTAGAATTGGAAGAACGGGTCACAGAACTAGAGGGAGAACTGGCAGCCAAGGAAGAGACTAATAGTGTACTTGAAGGAGATATTGCCAACTTAAGGAAAGAGGTGTGTTGTATTTTTGTGTTTCATTGTATTGCACAACCATCACAAGAATGTTATTGTTGGTATGTAGTTTATTTTGAGATGTTATCATATTTTATTATCACCTCAAGGAGGTTGTTTTCTTCAACATGTATTTTATTGCACATATAAAAAAAGCTCTTGCTAGATTATGAAGTTTTACAATTAGGTTGCCTTTGAGCCAAGGACCAATTGATTGCATTTTAGAGAATTTCTAGGAAGTGTAAACACTCATAGAAAATAGGTTTGCTATCAACAGGAAGTTTGTTTTTTCATAGAATTTTATGGTAGAATGTTTTTTCCCTTTCTCTTATTATACTGTGGACTGTGGAGGGTTAGACTCTAATTAAATTCTAACTAGATTTTCATTTTTGAGTGGAGGGTTGATAGGATGATGGGAGATGTTTGTATTTATGTATTTGTTCATTTGTAAAAAGAGATTATTGATTAATTAGTAACTGTAGTAATGAAATTGCCTGACCAATGTCGTTGGTATTTCAGTGTAAAACTACTTGTCAGTTTTTTTAAAGGTTCATATATTTACTTCATTGATATATATTTTTGTACCATGATTCTTGTTACTGGAAGTGGTTTCTGTTACACTTATTAGTCATACTCTGAGAACAGTTATTGTCACTTAGCAATAAATTTTCTCTTGACAGTTGGAAGATAAAGTAGAAAAGATAGCAGACTTAGAGGTAGAAGTCTCAGAGAAGGACATGAAGATCGATGACGTGATGCAGGAACTTGAGACGCGTCATGTTGAAATCCAAGCCAAGGAGGATCAGATCGAGGCTCTACACCAGGACTTAATTAAGGTGAGCTTCTATCCTTGTCTCCTTGGGATTATTGTCCCTTCCCCCCTGTTTTTCTTCTTATTTCTTATTTCTTTCTTTCTTGTCTTTCGTTATTCTTCATTCTTCTATCTTTCTTTCATTTTTCACTTTGTCATTTTTATTTCTTTCCATATTATCCCAGCCTCTGCTTCAATTTCTTGAAGGCATATCTTTTTTTTTTTTTTTTTCTTCTTCTTTCTTTTTTTTCTTTCACCTGTGTTTTGCCTGATATTTTCTTACAAGAAATTTTAAGGTGAGGTAGACCATATTGCTCTTTCCTTTCTTTCATTCTTTCGTTCTTAATATTTTTGCCTCGTTTATTACCTGCATTCTTGTGTTTCTTATTGTTGCCTTCTTTCTTCAATCAAAGGTGGAGCCAGAGATAGAAGTCAAAGTTCAGGAGATCGTAGAACGTGACCGGATCATAGAGGAAAAGATAGAACAGATTGAACAGCAGAACAAGATTCTCGTTGAAATCCAAATCACGCTGGACGAGAAGCAGAAGCAAATTGCAGACATGGAGCAGAAGATCAGCGATTATAGTGCGAAGATCACCAAACTCAATGAAGAGTTGGACAAAGCCTGTAAAACCATACAGGTAAGGGTGATTTACTTCTTTGTGTTTTCAACTGTAACGGTAATGATTAACATAATTCTAGTAGCTGTAGGACAGTAAATTACTTTGTTTGCAATATTATTCGTTTGTGGTTATGTTGCACGTGCATTTCTTATTCTATCATTCTTGTTCTTTCTCCTAATATGTCATTAGTATGGATAAGAGATGATTTTTCAAAGATAGAAAAAAAGTTTTACATTATTAGTCTTATTATAGGACAGTTGAGGTCAGTGGAAAAGAAGAAAGAATGTGCCTATTTCATTACTTTAACATTTCTCTCTCACCTGTAGACCTTTGCGGAGGAAGTCGAAGCACGTGACAAGGAAATTGTGACGCTGAAGAAGGAGCTGAAGAGGAAGGAGAAGAAGATCAAGGACTTGGTAGCAGAGCTGAAGGAGGCCCTCGATATGCTCAACAAGGCTAAGTGGGAAGCAGAGACTAGCGGTGGCGAGGATGGAGTCAAGGAAATGGCCGAAGAGGAGAATGAGGTAAACAACTTTTCCTGCAGCATGGAGAGCAGCGCAGCTTACTCTGGCAGTGTAGAGGAGGAGTTTGCTAGCTTGGAAGAGAGCTACTTCGTGAATGACAACCTCCATACGTGGGAAGCAATGCAGCATGAGCCGCTTCAGTATAACCCATCTCCTTTTAAGTCCCCAATGCTGACAGCTATGATACATCCCCTAATAAATGTTTTTAATCTTTCAAACACCTTTTCCTCCAGCAAAACCCTATCCAAAAAACTGCCTTTAGCACAATGGCTTTACTATCCACAAAAATTTACGGTCTCAGCTTTTGCATGCAACTTACGACTTGTCTTAGGCTACTTTTGCATGAAATTCTGCTTTTAGTTTCGCTTCACAATTATTTTCTTTTTTGTTGTTGATAATGCTAAAGTAGTTATATTTATGTACTGCTTCAGTGTTTGTTGCTTGTGCTTGTGGTGTTGAATGCTTTTCTACTTTTATTTTGCTTTTTCCCCTAATAAGAGACTTAATTTTAAATATTTTAATACCTATTAATAAAAGTCCTATGTCTTAACTGTTTGTTTTTCCTTTTCATGTTTGTATTAAACATAGAATGCTTTGCTATTTGATCATCTAATATCTGATTAAGAAAATATGGTAAGTACCTTTTTAAAGTAGTTAAAGTGATGTGAATGAATGTATAAGATTCATAGGTTTGTGTCTGTTTCATTCAGAAAAGTATCATTCTACGTAAATTTAGAATTTTATTAGATTTTAGGAAAAGGCCTCTGATCTGTATTCTTGGACTGAATGATTAAATTTTTGTTATTTTTTCATCTTTCAGTAAAGAATTTTCTAAATATTTATATCACAGATTAAATGTATAATGTGAGAATAAATTCAGTCTTCCTCCAAATGAGCCAGAATTCCCTCAATGAATCTTCCTTCTAAACAAGATTATTGACCTTTCAGCGACTGTGGGCAGAACTGGAATCAAGGAAGAACGAGGTGCTGGCGCTGCGGGCTGAGCACAAACACTCGTTGTCTGAGGCTCAGGACCGCATCAGTCACCTGCAACAGCAACTGGAGGAGAAGCTGAAGGCCCTTGACGGCCAGAAGGAAAAACACTCTCAGGATGTGGAGGAGAGAGAGGCTAAACTGAGAGACTTGGTTCAGCAGGTGGCGAGGTTGGAGGGCCAGTTGCAGGCCCTTCACGGCGACATGTCCAACAGGGAAGGCCAGCTGCGGACCAACCAGGACCTCATGCAGGAGTTAAAGGATGAGCTGGGGGCAGCGAAGGAGGAGCTGAAGGAAAAGAAGCAGGAGTTGGACAACCTCCAGGACGAGCTCAAGAAGAAGAATGCTGACATGCAGGACTTGGTTAATTGTGAACTATGGGAGAGGAATAAGGAGGTAGAGAAACTGCATGAAAAGTTAAGTGCCTTAACCTCAGATCATCAGAAACAAATCAGCAATCTGAAAGAGGAACTTCAGGCTAAGAATAATGAAATTAATAGATTAGAAACTAAGCCACTTTCTGAAAACAGTAAGAGCTCTGACGTCAGCCACACATCCAGCTGTCCAGTGATCAATACAAACCTAACAGTTGCCAGCTCTACAAATGATCAGCCTAAAAATGCTGCACATCTGACAGTGGTCACAAACACTGGTGCAGATCTAATAACTGTGGCACGTCCCCTTCATGTGACATTGGGTGATGACAGTGCTGCCTCAGTTCAATTGCTTTACCAAGAAATTAACAAAATCAGGGGTGAAGCACAGGCACTCAGGCTGGAAAGGAGCATTCTCAATGATAAATTACAGAAACTCAATGAAAAGGTGAGCCAGACAGCAGATGTAGCAAAGGCAAACGAGCTCAGAGAACAGATGGATATGGTTAAGCGACAGCTTGAAGAAAGCAAAGAACAAAACTTGCAAAAAGATCGGCAGCATGGAGAGGTTGTGAGTGACTTCCAGTCACAAGTGCAGACGTTGCGAAATGAACTCCATAATGCAAAGAAGAAGATAAGTCGTCAGTTAACAGAAGTCAGTGTCAGAAAGTACCAAGAATCTTTGAAGAGACATAAGCAGGAAATTGCATCACTGAGAAAGCGATTGGCAGACTCGCACAATGCCTGCGATCTCCTCAGAACAAGATTGGAAGAACTAGCTGACTTCTTGGAACGTATTCTCGAAATGGATGAGAAAGGTCTCATAAACTTGAGTCAGTTGTCAGCCAAGCATATTGCCTCACTGCACAAAACCCTGAATGAGTCCCGTGCCCTTTCCCGGTCCTTGTCCCAATCCCTCATGATTGGCATGGACACTACAGATCATGGAGACGATGGCCTATTATCCAGTTGTTCTCTAAGCTCCGTGTCATCTTGGAGCTTACAGCGAGATGATAGTCTCTCTGAAACTCATGATCCAGTAATAGCCAGCAGTCATGAAACATTGCCAAATCTGCCAGATGAAACTATACTTCAGGGAGATGAGACTCATGACCCAGCTTTCCAGGCTATTGCTACACAGCTCAATACCCAGATTGACCAAAAGACCAGGGAAATAGATGCGATAGCTGAAAATGTATGTGTACTTAGTGAGCAACTGGCCGAGCGGACTCGCCAGGTGGAGCAGCAAGCTGGTGTTATCGGAGAGTTGAGAGGCCAGGTGGGGCGCCTGCAGGAGGAGGTACGGCACAGAGACCTTCAGCTGATGGCATCCCAGGCTGACCAAGACCAAGATAACAATCAGGCTAATTTACATGGTTCGTGGCACAGTAGTACAAATCCCCTAGCAGCATCGTCTCAAAGCACAGTGCATGCGGCATCACCACAAACTACTGTCAACGCTCAGGATTATAGTAGTCAAGAACGGCTTAGGAAGTCGCCTAGCACATGTTCCGACACACTCCCTCCCCCTCCTCTTCATCTCCTTCAGGACAGTGAGTGTGAAGACATCAGGGGTGATGTGCGAGAGCTTGAAATATGTCAGGCGTCAGACCGAAGCAGTTTAAGTGCCGTTAAGAGTGCTTATTCAACCGATGCTGCCATTAAGGCCTATAGTAGACACCCAGGCTATTTCCACCAACTGGCTCCTCAGAAGGGACTCCAAAGCATGGACGGAAGAAAGTCGTGGGTAGAAAATGCCAGTGGACCTGGAGGGTGCATTGGGCCAGAACAGCCATGGGCCCCTGTTTCACCATCAGAAAGTGAGGCTTGGAGTGAACCAGACAGAAATGTGTCGCTTGCCAGAATTGGCCTGGATGCTTGCACTCTTGTTGGTGGTCCAGACCGAGCTCTGTCACGATCAAGGCAGCAAAGAGCATCTGCTGCCATAACTTCAGAGTCAGATGGTGAGGCAGCTTATGAGGAGACTACAACATGCACTGCCAATCCTATATCAACTCCTGGAAAAAGCTCTAAAAGACGCTCAGACATTGCTGAACTGCGACGTGTATCTACCAAACTGCGTGCCGTTGAACAGCTTAACGAAACACTCCGTGCTGAGCTGAACATCTATCAAACTCTGAGCCAGCAGTTAGTTCCACAACAACAGAATCAACAAGAGAGACCCAAAACAAGTGACAAGAGTGTTGAAACGCATAAAGGAGAGACGGTAGATGCGTCAGTGGGAGCAGAGGAAGAAGCAACTCTTCCAGCGCCTCCTCCTCCCATGCCTGCACTTGCTATTCCTGCCCCCTTGCTAGAAGAAATTCGGGCACTGCGGCTGAAACTGGAAGAAGCTATTGCAAACAACGACCATCTGAGAGACCAGTTAGAAGCAGCCCTTACAGCTCACCCTCAAGATGAAGCACGATTCCATCACCTGACTGCTGCACTACAGGTAAGGGCATCTTAATGAGGTTATTTTATGCACTACAGGTAAGGACATAGTAATGAGATTATTTTATCTATGATGTAGAATTATTTGTGTTCTGAGTCAGAGGAAAGGAATTATCACCTCATTGCTGAATTATGTCAAGGTTGAAAGTTGATTTAAGATACTTGATTGAATTATAATAGTTTATTAGTGTTGCTGTTAACTTTAATTGTTACTGATGTATATTTATTGCCAGATTGCCCAAGAAGAGGTAAGAGAGGCTAGAGACAGACTACAGTGTACCCAGGAAGCACTCAGAGCTCAGCAAGACCTCACAAATGGAGTCCAGCAGAAGTGCCAGGATTACGAACGCTCTCTGGAAAAGTGCAAAGCTCGTCTAGAAAACTCAGAAGCTGAGCTAAAGACCACAAGAGCAGAATTAACCAAAGCACAGCAAGTTGTCCAAGAAAAAGAGGCTCTGATTCTCGACCAGGAGAAACTTTTGCATCAAAAGGATTCTCAGCTCTCAGAAAATGAGCAAATCATTGTTGAAATTGGAGAGAAGATTAAGTACTTAGAAAAGAATGCCACAGAGAGCCAGGAAAATGACGTGCGAGTGCAAGAGTTGCAGACTGCAATGCAAAAGCAGGAAACACGTCTATTGGAAGTAAACAAGGAACGCCTGTCCCTTGTGGGAGAGCGTGCTCGTCTGCAAGCTCAGCTGGCCTCGATGGCAACTCAGGCACGTTTATTAAAGGACGACAAACAAGAAATTGAAGAGGTTGATAGCGAACGTGTATCTCTGCTCAAACAGTTAGAAGCTGGACAAACAGCAGCCATGGCCATGTACCATGAAAAACAACAACTCCTGAAGAGCAAGGAACATCTAGAGAAGGAGGTCATGATACTGCAAGAAGAAATAGCTAGTCTACGTGCCAAAGCCAACCACCTTGCAGCAAGAGAGGCTCATGCTGCCCACATATCCGATTCAGAACAGAGAGGTATGAATGAACTACGCACTGCACACACCAAACTGCAGCAGGCGTACAGAAACTTGCAAGAATATAATCAGAAATTAGGACAAGAGTTGTCAGCACTAAAGGAAAGGAAGAAAGTCAGTGAACAGGCAGAAGCACGCACTGTTGAATCAGAGAGACTCGTAAAGCAGCTGACAGCCCAGTTGGAATCAGAGCGTTGCCTTACAACTAACTTACAGCTTCAATTAGATGCTCTTAGATCCAAGGCCTCACCAGCTTCATCTCATAATGACTGTAAGTACAGATATTTGCAGATTATATATATATGTATATATATTCTTTCTGTACTATTTATATGTTTTATAATAGAGTATTTCCTCCTCTTCAAATTAATTTCCTCAGTTATTAAGATTTCTCCAACTTGAACATATTTTAATAATCATACCATTTAACCCTTAATTGATGTTTGCTCTTCTCTACAGCCGTTGTGCCTAATGCAAGTGATCTTGCATCTCCTGAAAGTGTGACTAGCATTGAGTTCTTCCGGCCCTCATCTGACATAAGTAGCATTGGTCTGCGGGGACGTAGGCCAGCTTCCCTAGGGCCATCCTCTCCAACTGAAAAAGAAAAATCCTATGAACGCCGTGCCTCCAGTAGCAGTCGCAGAAGAGACAGCAGTAAACGCTACAGCAGCCATTGGAGTGAAGATAAGGAAAACCTTCACACAACCACCACCACAATAACCACCACCACCACAAGCAGTAAGCGAGGACGTCGCCTCCAAAGCAATAGCTCTAATGATGGGGTTTTAGCAGAGCAGGCAGCACCACCACAGCTGCCCAACATCCATCACGAGGAAGAGAATGACGGTGGTACTACTTCCGGCGAATCTCCTGACCTGGGGATCGGATCAGACTACCATTTCTCCAGTTTGGAAAGGGGGACGCACATAATGCGTTCCACCTTGCATGCCAACAGCGATCTCCCATTACGTCCACTGTGCTCTGAACCTAGTAAGTGGAGTTTACCTTGGCAAGTTTTATAGCGAATTCATAGCTTCTCATCTGTAGATGTTTGTTTTTTTTTTATAATTAGAAAAAGTTTTCATGATTACAAGACTTAGAATCATCCAATACTTAGTACTTTTTAATATCTACCAAGTAAGATTCATATAAGTCTAGTATGGATTATTTTTAACATATATATATCTTTTTTTAATTGGATTATTTTTTCATGATTAGAAGCAATAACACTGTCTTATAATCACTGCCACTGTCAAGCTACAGTGGGAGGGCTTTTTTGTAGTTCATGTACAACCTCATCATCTAAAAGTAGATAAGTTTAATATACTACTGTGATTATAGATGTAACAGGGAAAAAGTGCTACTGTCTGGCAGGTTTTACATCCCAGTTCATAGTCATTTCTTACTTTTTTTAAGAACATAAGTATAAAAAAAAAAATAATAATAAAAAGATAATTAGAACACACAGAAAGAGGATTATGAGAATTAAGTGTATAATCAAATAGGGATCTTAAAAGACATAATTAAAAGAAAAGAGAATTTAAGGAGAATGTTGTTGATGCCGTGTAACACAAACTGGTCACCAAGGTATGTGTTATATTTTCTTCCTTGTGTTTTTATACATTCTTAATTTCTTTTCCCGTTTCTTTAAAACAAACTTGGGACTCTCATTTCATTCTGGTATATGTATTTCTTGCTATTGTTGTTGTTGAAGAACTATCTTCTTTTTTCAATTATTTTATCTACAAATAATGAAATTTTTCTCCATAAATTTTAAGAGAACTTGCCTGTTTTTTTCTTTTTCTTTTTCTTTTTCTTTTTTTATTTCTCCGTTCTTTTATTATGAAGTATAGATATTTTTTGTAGAATAAATTTTGTATTCATTTTGTAAATAGTACTGACTTTAGGATTAAATTCTCGGACTTCATATATAAATAATAACAATATTATTTTCTGTCATCAGAAATATGTTTTTGTTGTTGTTTTTCCCCTCAACTTTTTTCTGCGAAAGCTGTCAGAATGGGGTTTCACTCTGAAAGCTCTCATTTTTCTCAAACTGGAAAACTAACAGATTGGTATTTTCAGGCCATAGTACTCTAAGTGTGGAGAATCAACAATTGCGCCAAGAACGGGACAACCTGTCGGAAAAGTTGGCATCCACAAAGGACACGCTGAAGGATGCCTTGGAAAAGCTATCGAGAGCCAATCAGCGCAAAGAGAGCGTTGAGAGGGCCATCTGCAAGCAGCTCACCAAGACACATCACGTCCTCAAGAAAGCAAAAGGGAATTTGAAACAGGCAAACTCTCTTCCTCAGTGATCTAAGCAGGTCTTTTATGTAATATGTTGAAGAAAAGAAAAAATGGAAAAATTATTTAAAATTCGCATTTGTTTGCTCTTCGCTCAGATAATGGAGGCCAGAACTCTGTGTTATATTTTGTTTTACGTGTGAGAGATTCTTCTGAAGAGAATATGTCCATTTGTGTGTAGTGCAGCAATAATTGACACTGATTGACATTGTTATGCGTATGAGATTTTATGTTTGAGAAATTATCAAAAACTAAGATACAGACCGTCTCAAAAACTCAAAATGCTAAAATTACCAGGAACTCAAAAAGACAGAGAATATCAGAAATGCAAAATGCAGAAAGAAACAGGAACTCAAGATGTGAATGGCTTTGTGATTTACAATAGAACCATTATTTGTGAACCGTCCGCTGGTAGTCTTTACTGCGCCCTGTCTCAGTAAAGCTATCCCTTTAGAATGAACCTGTGTGGTAGAACTGAGTAACGAGTATTCCCGGCCGAGTGATAAAGGAAAGAAAAAACACACCATGAAAAATATCGTCAGTGGGAATCAGGCTGTTACGTTATCTCCAGGAAGATCATTCATACGCTTCTCATCCAGAAACAGAAATGTGATTTTCTCTTTTTTCTATTTGTTTGAGTTATTTTGTTAACAATATGGATGTTGATCCATAGGAACATGTGAGTAATTTTTAAGAGATTCTTTATGGATTATCATTTACTTTGCTTTTTTTTTTATTGTTGCTTTTCCTTGTACTTGACAGGAAAATGTTTTGAAATTGTCACACCCTTTGGAAGTATATATACTTTCAGATCCAGAGAAAGGAAGAATACACCCATTTATTTTTAGCAGGAGTTGTATGGTTATCGTGAAACCATTTTGCACCTTTATTTCAGTATCTTATAGTGATTAGGACATATCATATACATATATTTATTGTCAGGAATCCTGAATTCTATATATATTTGCTTGTAAAGAAAACGAGGTTGAGCATTTGATCATTGTAAATGTCATTTTTGTAGACATTCCAGTGCACACCTTGAAGCTGAACATCTGATATCTTGACCTCCATTCTCGTTATCTCTTTATGACTCCTTTTTCCACCTTAATTAGTCCTGTAAATATAATTCTCACCATTTTAAGCTCATCTTTTGTATATAATACTGATGACGTGATTTCAAATCCCACAGCTTTCTGAATATAATCTGTTTATATGAGTTTTAAAAAGGGTGTGGACATTTTTCTTCCTCATTTCCATATTTGCAAAACTTAGTTGTTTGGATATAGTTACACCAAACACGAGTTTACATTCTCAACTTGCTATATAAAAGCAGATTGTACCATCGTCATCTGATTTCACAGATTTTCCTAAGCTTCCTTAAGCAGAATACCTCCCAACTTCTGGTTTAAGTTAAGTTAATATAGTCATCTATCTTTTTTTTATCTTAATTATCATTAGAGTAATGAAAATGAGATGTAATGGAGATAAGATTTAACGTGTATTTAGTCTTTCTTATTTGATTTAAGACGAGAAGTTTGATTTCTGTTGGTTGTATTATGGTGCCTCGTTGTGTAAATTGTTCTTCTGTTTGTATGTGATTATTGTATCACATAATTTGTATATTTAGTATTTCACCAAATAAGGTAAGGGAATATGTATCATGATCATGCTTGTATAGATTCAAAAGTGTATATATTTTGTACGGAAATGGCTGTCTTCCAGGAATTGTTATGTGTACAAAGTAGGTTAAACAAATGTTTTTGTACATAGTGCACACGAGCCTCAATAAATTGAAATGAATGGATATTATAATCAAGACTTTTCTGCAATCTCCTTTTTATTCCTTGCAAACTGAATCTTGATCCTGCGTAGTTGTGATTTTGTCCTTGCTTTTACTGAGGACAAAATTACACACTGATTTAAAAGTATACATACACTATATTCAAATTTGTTACAAGCCTCGGTCTTCTGCATGTTGTACATCTTAAATAGAAAAAATATATATTGGAAACACACATGCAGAATTCTTATCAAATTGTTTCAATTTCCATAGTTAAATTCAGAAACTTTTTTAAATAATGAATTGCTAATGACATTTATCTGTAGGAAAAAAGGTATCTAAACAAGCTAAAGAACCTTCTATTCAAGTTCTAGGAGTAAAAGTGAAATCCAACGGAGAATCTGGTTCATTGATAAGGTTGGAGTAGCAGTCTAGGTCACCTCCAGTCCACCGGATCTTAAATTTCGAAATCAACTGAAAGAAAAAATAGGTCGTCATGATGTACACTTCCCAATATTTTATTATATTTTTTTTTTATTATTTTTTTTTTTCTAAATAGATACACTTTGCTAAAAAATATATACATATCCAATTTTATGTACCAAAAGTAGGACATTGTGAAATGTATTACATGTCATGTAAAACTGTGAGCACAGACAATAAAACTAATAGAGAAATAGATTTGTAGAGTAGAGATTGAAATGTGCAGAGTTAATGTCCTGAAAGGCAGAAAAAAAAATATATACATCATTATCCACAAACAAACTGAAACCGACAAAAATATTTACCTGAATAATCACAGTATACATATTTTGCTCTGCCATACGTCTCGCAATACATGCTCGTGGTCCATGTCCAAACGGAAGAACCAAAAAGGGATTAATCTCCCCTTTCGCAAACCAACGTTCAGGAATGAATGCATCAGGATCAGGAAAATACTCAGGAAGACGGCAAGAGACTTGATTCTGTGTCACTATAACTGTCTGTAAATTTGAATTTTAATTGCTGTATTTTTTCAGGTGTTATAAAATTTAATTTTAATTGCAAATAACTTGTAGTTAAATACAGAAGGTAATATTCATTTCAAATTCAATAGTTAACTATATCAAACGTCATTATTATATCATAGTGTGCACACTGGCATCACTAGTAATAATATCATTAACAGATTATCATTAACAGGATTATTATAATATGATATTCAGCTTTCCATATTATCATCATTACAATCACAATCACTTTTAAATTCGGATTTTAATATTCATAACTATGGTGATAAAGTTCTTTAACCAACTCAGTTATTCAAACAAATGCATTTATTATTGCATGTAAGAGAACGAATTTGAAAATGAAAACAACATATTATTTTTATGGCAATTTCTTAACTTATACCTACATTCTTTGGTATTCTGTATCCTCTGATGACTGTATCTTCATTTGTAATTCGTCCCACACCCACTGATACAGGACGTAAACGGAATGACTCTTTGACCGTTGCTTTCAAATACCTAGACTTGGCTAAGACCTTTGATGTCACCTAAAAAAAATCAAGGTAATATAAAATCAGACTGATATTACAATTCAGCAAACTACATTGATATCTTGTGTATATATTTTATTAATAGATGAATACTCTGTATATCAAACTTTGATGAATATATTCTAAAACTGAATGAACTATTGCTAGATCATGTCATTATTGGTTTCAGACAATGTTGCAAATAATACAGAAATGTTTAATTAATTTAAATTTATTTAATATTTCATGTACTCAAGGGCATCACCAAGATTAATTTGGTTCTGCATAAGGGGCTAAATGGCTCATGAAAATCTAATTAAGAAAAAACAAAAAACAGACAGGTGGTTTAAAAAATTAGAGTGGGGGTATACCACTTTAGTTGGGTAAACATAGCCTGATGTCGCATGCCTGTATCTCCAACAGACTTGAAAGACCAGGAAGAAAGTTTGATCTATCTAGAGATAATACTCAGAAATTTCCAGGAGGATGTTAGACTAATTAAAGAACTTACTTTTCCACCTGCTTCCTCTAGTAAGCTTTTAGATTCTTCAGCCAGGATTTCTTGCTTTTCTGGGTTAGTGGCCAGATTGTAGAGAACATAAGATAAGCTAAAAGCACCCTGCAAAAGACAAACAAACAGCCTGTTACAATCAAATTCCTTCAACATTAAATGTAAGCAAACTCCTTATCAGCATTTGACATAAGTAAATTCCACATCAGCATTAAATATTAGAAAATTCCACATCAACATTAAATAGAAATCGCCCTTCACATTAAGTCAACAAGTAATAAAAGTAGTTCATTCGATACTTACTGTGTCAGAACCAGCAAGGAGAGTGTCACACACAACACTTACAATGTCCTTTTTATCCATACCGCTCCTCATTAGAAAATATTCAAGTACAGTGACAGGCCCGTCATCGAGAGACTCATTGCTATTCATCTCTTTTCTTCTTTGTATTTCCGCTTCTTTTTCCTCAACATACTTTAAAGACGTTCTTGGGAACAAAATGCATTGTGTGTCAAGTTAGTTTGTGTTAGTGATTTTTTTTTACCTCATTTAGATAATCTTCATATTTTATGTTGTCAAAAATGAATCATGTAAACAATATCAATAAAAATAGAAAATCCTTGTATCTATTCATTAAATGATAAACGATACAAAAAATAATAAATGAAGGTATATTAACCTATATAGAATATTTTGTCCCCTCACGAGTTGCTTATAAAGGGGGGTATCAAACAGTCGCCAAAGCTGCATGCTATTATCCGTCCTGAGGATAACAGAGGTGGTGGAATTAGCAGCATGAATAAGTTCTTCTGCTTCTTGATTTGCGGCGTGGAACGACTCCTTGTTGATGCATCCAATCCGGACATCAAGAACACCAGCCATTGTCACTGTCACAGGCAAAAGAATGCCAAATAATATACAGAGTACATCAATACAGTCAGTCTTACATCAAAGATCTGTAGCATGGCAGCAGTCCTTTAGTTAAAGTCATATCTAATTACCTTACTAACTTTACCTCAATGTAGCAGTAAGCAAATATCTTTCAGAACAGAATCATATTCCTGGTTCTTAAATATTTTTCAGGAAGCTGAATAATATCCACAGTAATTGTATATCTTTAATATACAAGATTTATCATAGGTTTTAAAATACTAATAAAGAAGGGATGACATTTATAATGATGAACATTTTTTACTTTCAAATAATTTCTGTATCATGTTACTTTATTATACGTTTTAAAATACTAATAAAGAAGGGACGACATTTACAATGAATATTTTATATTTTAAAACAATTTTTGCATTTTACTTAGTATTATCATTAAACAGCAGGAAAATGAAATGTCTGATTAAATGAAAGCTGATTCACATTCTAAATATTTTCAGTACCTTAAATAATTCCCATTCATTATTATCCCATTCATATCAACAAAGGAGTAATCCTCAGCATTGATGAATATTCACAATACTAATAATCTTTACAGACAATTCACTATTAAATGCTCTTAAGATTACATAATGTTAGTACCAAGGAGGGCCTCATCTCTCACTGTTCCTGATGATCTTTTTTTTATAAATTCTCTTCTTTTCAAATGTACTTAATTTGGTCTCACAGCATAGAAGAGAATTAGGTGTTAGTGTAATAAGTGATAACAAAAAATCACGTAATCAACCCACATTTTTGTAACTCTGTAGCTACCGAACAATCAGGCATATCATTATTCCTCTATCCTTCACCAGGTACGTGGCAGACCTTAAATTAATCAATTACTTAATTAAGATTACTTACATTCCAAGAATAAACGTTTTTCAAGATTCAAGAAGTCGGATACGGAGCCAGTAGTTGGGTCTCGTATGGCACTGATGAGGTCAACAAAATCTCTGGACACCTGTGCAAATAAAACAAATAAATCCACGTAAATGCAAGTAAACTGTTTACGAAATACAACTGTATGTTTAGGAAGTTATACATTATACACAGGATTACCCTCTGGTGTTTTAGTACCTCTGTATATGTATCTACTGGTCCACTCAGAGAATTGAAAATGTTATTTTTTGACTGATTTAGAAACAAATTTTTAAAATATGAGAACTTGATAGGGATAAGGATGAGGATGAAGATGAGGCTGGGAATGGGAATGATAAACACCTGATCCGCAAGAGGAAGACGACTCAACACACTTTGAGGTCGACTAAGAACTTTCTGTGCAGGACTTCGGAGTTCCCACCACTTGGGTCCATTTCTGCAATGAAAAAGATGTATTTGTTTTCATTCTCCCCATGTCCCATTCATCTCCCTTTCTCTTACTTCAGTCTTTTATTATGCCTTTTCCTTTCCCTTCTAGCCGCTTTTCAAATCTTGCCCACGTTCACAGAGCGTGACCTGCCATGACCGCCTTGACTGGTAAGCTAACCGCCAAACAAGTCCAATCACGAACGCTTGGCACCCGAGCCGTTCTGAAATCACTGGTGAGATCGACCTTCAGAAAAAGCTGCTTGGCGAGGTCATTGAGCACCGCGAAATGTCTGACCAAAGAGAGAACCTTGACACTCGTCTTGGTGAGCCAATTCGCTGCCTCGATATTACGGAGCTCAAAGCTCTAGAGGCTGACGCGAGGTGCGCGGCAGAGGAGCTGCGAACCTGAATGGAGGCTCTCGAAGGCTCTTCGAAGAGACAAGGCAAGAACAGAGGGTCGCTTAGATTACCCGGAGGGCCAGAGACGCCTGAAACAACTTACGTTTCTCTGGCATCCCAGAGATTTGCAACATAACATAACCTAGGAGATTAAGGAACCTCCTGCAACAGCACCTGAACATTGTTCCCCTGGTAGAGCAAGCTTATCGAGTGGAAAAACCATGACAAGCCCAAAGGCACTGTGACCAAGTTCGTGAAGTTTGGGGGCCGTGACGCAGTTTTTGCCTGCTGAGGCACGCGAGGAGCCAGGGCAAACGTGGCTCGTTCAGCTACAGAAAGCTGGTCGTGACTGAGCGTTCACATCCTCGTTCACTCTGTGCTCCCCAAACCCACGCCTGGAAATGCCTTTGGTCCACTGCCATTGCCTGCCCGCTTCACTCTCGCTCCTCATCTGACCCTCCCTTCATTATTGCTATAGTTAACAGAAATTGTGCAGAATATCACATCTTGAACTTTAAAAATCTTCTCTTGACCGCTTCCTCGGATTTGGTAAATGGAGCAGGTAATCCAAACGTTGTTTACGATAATTTTACTTCCATTTTCATGTTTCGAAAGATATTTCCTCTCGAAAGAAAAGAAAATGTGAAATCAAAATCATTCAACAAACCCCATATTGCAGTTGATATAATGGTTTTTAATTTGAGAAAAAAAAAAAATAAGCTTCAGAGAAAGTACTGCTAAAAATTATCCATCACTGACTTCTAATATCTCAAGTTTATCTGATGATAATAAATTCACTTTATGAATATTTCCTAACCTGTCGCAAGCTTTTGATACAGCCAGTCACTCCAATTTACAATGTAAATTTGTACACCACGGTATCAGAGCTAAATCATACGATTGGTCTGTTACATAGTTAACAAAACAAATTTGCCTGCTTTGACAAACACGCATCTTCTCAAAACCTTATTAGTCAAGGGTTCAATTGTGGGCCCTGCTTTTTCTAACATAAATGACATAGATAACTCTTTTAGACTCAGCTTCAGTGTATATGTAGATGATACGTGTACACTCTCCGAGCAGCTATAAACATGAATTAATAAGTACAACAAAAATTAATTAAAACCAAATATTTAATATTACTATCTCTTTCTCTTTCTCACACTTCTCCTCTCTCTCTCTCTCTCTCTCTCTCTCTTCCCCCTCTTCCTCTCACTCTCTCTCTTCCTCTCACTCTCTCTCTTCCTCTCTCTTCTCTTCACACTCTCTCCTCTCTCCTCTCACTCTCTCTCCCCCCCTTTCTCTCTTCCTCTCATTCTCTCTCTTCCCCCCCTCTCTCTCTCTTCTCTCTCTCTCTCTCCTTTCCTCCTCTCTTTCTCTCCCCCCCACACACAACACCCCCCCCCACCCCCAACCCAACCCACCCACCTCTCACCCCTCCCCGACACTCACGTCGGCACGAGCCCTCCCGAATTGTACATCTCAGGGCGGTCCAGGCGGTACTTCTCGAGGGCGAGGTGGGAGCGGCGCTGCGGGTACCTCCCTTCCCCAGCGTACATGGTCTCGATGTCCTTGGGGTCGAAGAGAAGCAGCAGCGTCAGGGACCCGGTGAGCTTCTCCCGGACGATGGGGCCAAACTGCTTGTACTTCTTGTAGCCGCTGTGGTGGAGGCGCTTGAAGGTGTACTGGCCTGTGGGGGGGAAGGGGGGAGGAGGGTAGGGTATAGTTTTGTGTTATGATAATTTGTTGTCATTTTTTATTATCTTGATTATTTTTATTGTCATTATCATTGTATAATTATTTTCATTATTACTGTCAGTTTATTATTATTATCATTATTTTATTATTACTACTACAACTACCACTTCTACAACAACTACTACTACTATTACTAATTATTATTATCATCATTATTATTATCACCATCATCTTCATTACTACTACTACTACTACTATCATCATTATGTCTCTTTTGTTTGGGCTCATTATGAAAACTGCATTATCGTTCTTTTATATAAATTCTCTTCTTTTCAAATTTGCTTAATTTACAACATAGAAGATAATTAGGTGTTAAGAGTAATAAGTTATAACAAAAAAACAACCCAATTAACCCCATTTTATTAACTCTGTAGCTACGGCACAATCAGGTGTATCATTATTCCCTATCCTTGACCAGGTACGTGACAGACATTAAATTAATCAACTGAAATTTAATTAAATGTTCTTGGTCTGCGAAGGTAGTAAGGGAGATCGGAAGCAAAGTTTAAAAAATCTAGTGATGACAAATATATAAATGTACATATACATACATACATATACACACTTACATTCACACGTATACATACATATATACATGCACACACACATATGTGTATAAATATATATACATATATGTATATATATAAAAGTATATACATATGTATATATATTATTATATATATATTATATACATACGTGTATATATACATATATATATAAGTATATATATGTACATATGTATATATGTACATATGTATATGTATACATTTGCTTACATATATATATATATATATATATATATATTATATATATACACACACAAATAAAAAATGCAAATGGGTTGCTACGCATATGGATCTTTCAAAGCTTCGTAGGAAAATAAATCTGAACAGCGTGGGTCCTCAGAGGTGAAAAGGAAGAGTTAATCCCTTTGATCAGATAACTATAAAGCTAATGGCAAAGGTGTTGAGATTTCGTGACATTATAAGCCAGGCCCGAGGAGCAGTCCACCCGCGTGTATCGAATTAATCATAAAAGAGAGAGGAGAGAGAGGGAGAGGAGAGAGAGGAGAGAGGGAGAGAGGGAGAGGGAGAGGGAGAGGAGAGAGAGGGAGGGAGAGGGAGAGGGAGAGGGAGAGGGAGAGGGAGAGGGGGGAGGAGAGAGAGAGGAGGGGGGAGAGAGAGAGAGGAAGAGAGGAGAGGGAGAGAGAGAGGAGAGGGAGAGAGAGAGAGAAAAAAAAAAATGATTGCTTAGTGTTCTTTAATAAGAATGGAATGGATTTAAAGGCACCAATAGCTCCAGTACTGGCCATCTAAGAGCTCGCAGCCATATTGGTTTATATTTTATTATTTTTTGTGCTTTATGGGTCACCGTTAGGCCTCCTAGTTACTCTAATAGTTACTCTGTAGAGATACCCGCATCGACAGCTGAAGGTGCCAGTTTATTATATTTTGAGGAACAAGACCTTGCATTTTCATTTGCGAGATCATGGGAATTAATTACCTCATTTTGCTTCAGTGTTTTTACTCGTCATGCTGAAATAAACAACATCCAATCTCTGCCTTTTTCTTCTATGTTAAAGAGCCTAGAACGAAGCCATTGAAGTTGGACGCATCTCTCAGGTGCCCTTGACTCTATATACCTAAAACCTCTTTGGGCCTGTCACGGTACAGACCTGTGATGAACATATTTCATCCACCAGGGAGATCGAAAATGCGATACTCAAACTCACAGATTCAGAATCTCTTACAATATGACTGACGCGGAGATATGTTAAGCCTGTAATCCGTTGTCAATAAAGCAATCATTCTCACACCCTGCATTTCTATGAGTCCCGCTTGGGTGATAAGCATATACGGGTAATTTGCCTTTGTCAGGATTTTGGAACCGTGGTAAACAATGATTCATAGGTGTAGCATAAGCGACCGTCCCCCCCCCCCCACACACACACACACTCTGGAATGGAGAGGGACGGGACCCAACTTCTGCCCCCAAACTCCTTCAGAGGACATTCCCAGTAAACAAACAGAGTACAATCCTTAGTTACCAGTTGTTTAGTACACCGACACCCTGCAACTGAGAGAGAAGCTACAACCGACTCTAGTGTTCTGAATGAAATTACCATCATGTCAAATATTATCTAAATAAAAATGCTAAACAATTTAAGTACAGAAATGAATGTTTATCTCTTTAAAACTGCAAACATCCAGGACCCCAGGCTATTTTTTAAGGGGGGACCTCCTTTGCCCCCCCACTTCAAAATACCTTCCTTCGCCAATTAGACTTACTATCCAGAAATTGCTAAAATCTTGCAAAAAGTACAGACGGCGTATTTAGTCCCACACCCATGGGATCCAAGTTCTAACCTGCATTAAGCTTTATCACTACAAGAAATCACAAGAAAGTCACCCGTAGTACAGGCGAGACTCCATAGTTTCGTCGACGAACAAAAATCCACCACCAGATTACCAACCACCCTTGTTTAAAGTCCGTTCTTAACCGCCTCCTTGTTTGCCTGTAGTTAAGCGTTCACATTTCCAAGCTGGACCTCGGCTCCGGTAGTTATGGGAGGTTCAGATCCATTCACTGACCGAGGGAAAATTTACATGTTTTCCAGCTCTTCTCTCTTTTGGATCATTGGCTAAAGGGAGATTTTAAAGGACCCCGAGTTGCTCATTAAGTGGTTCTTGTCTTCAATTCCGAAAGCGCTTTACAACGAAAAAATGCTAATACTGTAAATGTGAGTATAATACATGTTCGTGTGTCTGTGTGTGTGTGTGTGTGTGTGTGTGTGTGTGTGTGTGTGTGTGTGTGTGTGTGTGTGTGTGTGTGTGTGTGTGTGTGTGTGTGTGTGTGTGTGTGTGTGTGTGTGTGTGTGTGTGCGCGCGCGCACATATACATACATATATACATTCATATCTATTTCGACCTGTGTGTAAACATCTCTTATCTGTCTACACACGCGCGCGCGCGCGCCGTACATGCGTTTATAAGTATTATATATGTATGTATATTATATATAAATATGTATATGTGTATATATATGTGTATATATATGAATATAAATATATATATATATATATATATATATATATATATATATATATATATATATATATATATATATAAACACCCATATACAATGAGCCATTACCCATGAAGGGCGTGACTTGACGCGCACTCGTCAGCGAGCGTCCAAGTGCATTCGAACACGCCTTTGCACGCTCCACTTCCAGGAATCGGAGAAGTGATTTCAACACGGCAATTTCCCCAACAACAATGTATCTCTTTGGACTTCCCTCTGTCTCCTTGCAAAACCCTTGTCCTGTCTGCGTTACCCTTGAATTCCCTCCCCGCCCCCGCCCCTCGCCCCCCGAGTCCAAAGGAAAGATAACATCGACCCCCATTGTTTACAAAAGGGAGATGACACGTGCGGTTTGTTATGGTTGACAGCGTCTGGTAGCGACGCATCTCTGGCCGGTCTCCACGCGAGCGAGGATTTTTTTTTTTTTTTTTTTAGCAAAGGTCGTTTACCGTCTTTGAAATTTTTACCGAGGATGGAAGTTGATTGTTAGCATTTACTTATATGATTTCCTTTATTTTGGTTTTATTTCCTTAACAGGACATTCGTTCCTGTTATTTAATGAGTGTGGTTAACTACCATTGCCCAAATTGTTACTACCGCCGAATAAGACATCAAATAAATAAATAATAAATAAATAAATATCAATGCTTCTACTTCGGGCACATAAATTTATATAAAACTCTCTTTTACAACTAAATGGTAGCTCGGCCTATAAATATGCTTGTAAAAAATGTAACACGCACGTGTGTTCCTGTGCGTGTGTACGTGTGTGCATCTATGTCTGCGTATGTGTATGTGTATGTGCATATGCGCGCGCGAGCGTGTGCGTGAGCGTCCGTGCGTGTATGTGTGTGTACGTGTGCGAGCATGCGTGTACATGCGTGCGTGTGTGCGTGCGTGTGTGATTTTGCATCTGCGTGAGTGTGAGTGTACTTGCTTGCTTACACTCTTGTGTTCCCTCCACCGTCCCTATTGCTCCACTAAACCTCAACTCCAGACATCCCTAACGACCCCGGGGCCCAACTGCAGGTTCTGACCGGCATCGCATATATATGACCTTCACGCTGTCTGCATATGAAATTATTTTCTGTAACCCTTTTCACCAGTGACTATTGAATTCCTAGAACATTCTTTAATGCTAAAACTAAATCTAAAGTATTAGCACGAATTGCAGTGCAGAATTCTCTTTACAGATGACAACTATGTAATTATAAATAAGCCATTCTGGAGTTATCTTTTACTAATAATTGAATAAAAATGGAAGTATGTCTATCAAGTACTGATACACCTTACAGTATAGTATTACCATTACAGACACTATATACCAACCTCAAAATATGGTGTTATTTCTATAACTAACTACACGTTAATAATACATCACGGTATTATCTATATTGCTAAACCACACACAATAACCTGTAAAAAAAATAATCCGACAATAGCAAACTTTACCATACATTTCCACAACTAGACAAATTTAATAACATAAAATTAATTAACTGAGGTGACCAACACCCCCCCCCCCACCCACCATCATAGGAATAATTCTATAGAGAACTCTTCGCAAGAATAATTCTATAAGTAAATTCTAACAATAATAATTCTCTAGCCAAGATCTCACACTATTAATTAAATTACCCAAGTCCTCACAATAATAATTTACAGCCAATTCTACAGAATAATTCTAATTCTATAATAATTCTACAGCCAATTCTACAATAATTCTACAAAAAATTCTACAAAATAATTCTACAGCCAATTCTACAAAATAATTCTACAGCCAATTCTACAAAATAATTCTACAGCCAATTCTACAAAATAATAAACCCAATTCTACAGCAAATTCTAAATAATTCTACAGCCAAAAATCAATTCTACACTAAATTTCTACAAAATGATAATTCTACAGCAAATTCTACAAAATAATTCTACAGCCAATTCTACAAAATAATTCTAAGCCCTAAAATAATTTCTACAAAATATAATTCTACAGCCATTCTACAAATAATAATTCTACAAAATTAATAATTCTTACTAAAATAATTACAGCCATTTCTACAAAATATAATTCTACAAAATAATATTCTACAAAATAATAATTTCTACAGCCAATTCTACAATTCTACAGCCAATTCTACAAAATAATAATTCTACAGCAATTCTACAAAGTAAAATTCTACAAAATATTAATTCTACAGCCAATTCTACAAAATAATAATTCTACAAAATAATTCTACAGCCAATTCTACAAAATAATAATTCTACAGCCAATTCTACAAAATTAATAATTCTACAAAATTAATAATTCTACTAAATAATTATACCCATTTCTACAAAATAATAATTCTACAAAATAATATTTCTACAAAATAATAATTCTACAGCCAATTCTACAAAATAAATAATTCTACAGCCAATTCTTAATAATTCTACAAAATATTAATCTACAGCCCACAAACTATAATCCTACAGCCACCTCCCCACAGTAACGAGCTCTTCTCACTCACCAACGATCGGGAAGTAGTTGTACAGCCCCCCCACCACAGGCAGAGGGGCCGGTCCTGGGATTTCCTCGAAGGGGCGGGCGGCCTGGTACAATTCCTCCTTCGTGGTTTTTGTTCCATTTCCCTCGACTGCAAAGGGACAGGTTGCTGCCATCTCCTCTGCGGCGGTGTGTGCCTGCCTGCTCGTCCATTGGGGCAAGCAGCTACGTTGCCATAGCAATCTGTTGGCGACGAATCGTAGTATGGACATCCTGAGGTTGTTGTGTTTTCAGGGGGAAAGATATGAATTCACATCCACGTCTATTTTCTGCTCTCCTTCCGCCGTCCTTCGCAACAGCAACGCATAAAATCGTCCATCAATCCGCCAGACGATCGAACGAGCGAAACAGCAATTAGAGGAATGTCATGCTCATCAATCAAGTGTTATTTTATCATCCAGACAGCATCGGAACCTGATTTGTCATGGAGCACCCGTTCGGCCCTTCCTTTCCAGACTGAGCGCCGTCTGGAAGTGCGCGGGGTGCT